GTCTTCGTATCCCAGATCCTTGTCTTCGTATTCCAGATCCTTGTCTTCGTATCCCAGACCCTTGTCTTCGTATCCCAGACCCTTGTCTTCGTATCCCAGATCCTTGTCTTCGTATCCCAGATCCTTGTCTTCGTATCCCAGATCCTTGTCTTCGTATCCCAGATCCTTGTCTTCGTATCCCAGATCCTGTGAACCGGCACTGTGAACGGGCACTGTGAACGGGCACTGTGAACGGGCACTGTGATCGGGCACTGTGAACGGGCACTGTGAACGGGCACTGTGATCGGGCACTGTGAATGGGCACTGTGAACGGGCACTGTGAACGGGCACTGTGATCGGGCACTGTGAACGGGCACTGTGAACGGGCACTGTGATCGGGCACTATGAACGGGCACTATGAACGGGCACTATGAACGGGCACTGTGCCTCACCAGCAGAATATTATCCCCAGGCCGCAACACGTTCTCCTCAATAGTACATCGTATTTTGACGTATTATTTTCCCGAAGGTCAGAAACTTACGAACTTAAAATAGCATAGTGACTCCAGAAATTGACGTGACGTCCCCGTTTTTTCTCCGTGGGTACTCGGGTAGGTTAGGTTCGGGTCCAATTTAGCACCACGGTTTAGTGACGTTGGGAGCGCTCGGGAGAACATAAATATATGCAGTAGTAACAACCTCACTACGAGGCCTCGTTATCACCAGTGGAGGAGAAATCACCTTGACAAACAATCTAGTTACCGCTGATACATATAACCTTGGTCTACATACATACATACATGCACGGGCAGACCAATACTGCAGCCATGGTCTCATCTCTCGTAAGACACAGGGAAAGATTATATATATATATATATATATATATATATATATATATATATATATATATATATATATATATATATATATATATATATATATATATATATATATATATATTAAATAAGACCGATAGTTCTATATAGTTGTTGCACAACTATATTCTACCCACCTCAAGACTCAGCTCCAATATAGAAGCATCAAGAAATATGGACCAATAGGCTTTCTACAATCACTTCCATTCAATACCCATTGTTTCGTGTTCTGTCTGTGTTGATGAATTTAATACCCTATTAATGCCACCTCACCCCATCCACCTCACTCAAATGTAGATATAAACAAATCGGAGATGTGTAAGTTCTATTCAGTTGTGTATGTGTAAACTAAAGTCTTTGAAAATGTAATAAGTTTTACGAAACGCGCTCAAGTGTCGCGTCAGACTAGAAATATAAATGAATTTTGGAGAATTGATTTTTGAATTACCACCAACAGTGAAAAGAAATGTACGAAAGATTGAGAAAGTTCGTGTTAGAATTATTAATCTTACTTTTTCGGTCATATTTAATAATATATATATATATATATATATATATATATATATATATATATATATATATATATATATATATATATATATATATCCTGAGGCTCAGATTACACGCAGGCACCCCGTATCCCCCCTCACCCCTTCCGTGAACCAGAGGTCAACAGTCCCGTGAACCAGAGGTGAACAGTCCCGTGAACCAGAGGTCAACAGTCCCGTGAACCAGAGGTGAACAGTCCCGTGAACCAGAGGTCAACAGTCCCGTGAACCAGAGGTCAACAGTCCCGTGAACCAGAGGTGAACAGTCCCGTGAACCAGAGGTGAACAGTCCCGTGAACCAGAGGTCAACAGTCCCGTGAACCAGAGGTGAACAGTCCGTGAACCAGAGGTCAACAGTCCCGTGAACCAGAGGTGAACAGTCCCGTGAACCAGAGGTCAACAGTCCCGTGAACCAGAGGTCAACAGTCCCGTGAACCAGAGGTCAACAGTCCCGTGAACCAGAGGTCAACAGTCCCGTGAACCAGAGGTCAACAGTCCGTGAACCAGAGGTCAACAGTCCCGTGAACCAGAGGTCAACAGTCCCGTGAACCAGAGGTCAACAGTCCCGTGAACCAGAGGTCAACAGTCCCGTGAACCAGAGGTCAACAGTCCCGTGAACCAGAGGTGAACAGTCCCGTGAACCAGAGGTCAACAGTCCCGTGAACCAGAGGTCAACAGTCCCGTGAACCAGAGGTCAACAGTCCCGTGAACCAGAGGTCAACAGTCCCGTGAACCAGAGGTCAACAGTCCCGTGAACCAGAGGTGAACAGTCCCGTGAACCAGAGGTCAACAGTCCCGTGAACCAGAGGTCAACAGTCCCGTGAACCAGAGGTCAACAGTCCCGTGAACCAGAGGTCAACAGTCCCGTGAACCAGAGGTCAACAGTCCCGTGAACCAGAGGTCAACAGTCCCGTGAACCAGAGGTCAACAGTCCCGTGAACCAGAGGTCAACAGTCCCGTGAACCAGAGGTCAACAGTCCCGTGAACCAGAGGTCAACAGTCCCGTGAACCAGAGGTCAACAGTCCCGTGAACCAGAGGTCAACAGTCCCGTGAACCAGAGGTCAACAGTCCCGTGAACCAGAGGTCAACAGTCCCGTGAACCAGAGGTCAACAGTCCCGTGAACCAGAGGTCAACAGTCCCGTGAACCAGAGGTCAACAGCACATCCTCAGTGCTTTCATTATTGAACCAGTCTACCCTCTTCGGGTAATTGGGGCCCAGTTCCAATTACCAGCCTGCCAGCCAATCACAACCCAGCCGTCGCCACCACCTTGCAGCGACCAATCACAGCCTTCGCCACAGCAGATGGCGGCTCCTACCACACAGCACAGCACGGTGTATGCTCTATCTACTGTGGCAGATAAGATTGCCGGCCCCACCTACCGGGAATTCGTGAGGATTCTGAACCTCCGCTATACTGCTTCGGCCTCCTGACTTTCACCATACCAGAGGAAGTCTTCACTACCTCTACTACAGGTGTAGTTACAGCTACCACTCCGCAGCCCTCTCATCGACCTGCTGCTACTCAACCTTCAAGGATCACCGCCTCTGTTTATTATTCAATTGATTCGTCAGATGAAGATGTCTCACGGAAGGTTTACAACAGACCTGGGGCCAGATTCACGCAGCAGTTACGCAAGCACTTGCCAACCTGTACATCTTTTGTCAAATTGTAGCTGCTTTGTTTACAATTATTAAATAGTTAATTAACTCCGAAGCACCAGGAAGCTGTTTATAACAGCTTACAATAACAGTTGTATGCTATTATAAATAAATACATAAATACAACAGTTGATTGGGAAGTTTTCATGCTTGTAAACCGTTTAATAAATATAACCAAAGCCGTCAAAGACTGAGAAATGATATACACGTTCGTAAGTACTTGCGTAACTGCTTCGTTAATCTGGCCCCTGATTATTTCCTACTGGACACCTCACCCACAACCTCGAACCACAGCACAACTGTGTCAACACCAGGTATCACTTCCAACAACAACAAGATGACCAAGGATCCAAGCTCGCTGGAAAATACCCTAAGGAGAAAGTAGAAAGAAGAGCACTAAAGCCAGAAGACCAGCGAATGAAGAATGAAGACCCACGAAGAATGAAGACGCAAGAATGAAGTACCATCAACGACTACCAGCTGCTTGCGAGCACCAGCCCCTGAGTGTCTGAGCAAAGAACGCCCCACTCAGCCTTACAGATATTTACTCAAGTTCACATATCCGCGGTGGTTGGGCCTCCTCCCTGTGCTACTCCTCTCCGCCTTGTGTCCAGTACCTCTCTTGAGGTTATCTTGAGAGGATTTCGGGGCTTTAGTGTCCCCGCGGCCCGGTCCTCGACCAGGCCTCCACCCCCAGGAAGCAGCCCGTGACAGCTGACTAACTCCCAGGTACCTATTTACTGCTAGGTACCTGGGAGTTAGTACCTCGCTCAAGCTTCCTGCACCCTCGTCCCGTTCCTCCGTCCCCCAGCTTACTTGCTCTACGGGCAATTTCCCATTTTCTTCCCGCCAACACCACACCCACCACTACCCTGCTCGTTACACTTCCACTGTGTAGGTGACATCACTGACGGCGTTACTTAACTGTTTCTGAATACTACGTTAACACCTATTATCGTTTTTGTGTGTTAACTAGCACCCGACTACCGTTATTGTGTGTTAACTAGCACCCGACTACCGTTATTGTGTGTTAACTAGCACCCGACTACCGTTATTGTGTGTTAGCTAACACCCGACTACCGTTATTGTGTGTTAACTAACACCCGACTACCGTTATTGTGTGTTAACTAACACCCGACTACCGTTATTGTGTGTTAACTAACACCCGACTACCGTTATTGTGTGTTAACTAACACCCGACTACCGTTATTGTGTGTTAGCTAACACCCGACTACCGTTATTGTGTGTTAACTAGCACCCGACTACCGTTATTGTGTGTTAACTAACACCCGACTACCGTTATTGTGTGTTAACTAACACCCGACTACCGTTATTGTGTGTTAACTAACACCCGACTACCGTTATTGTGTGTTAACTAGCACCCGACTACCGTTATTGTGTGTTAACTAGTAGTCCTAGTAGTCTGCGTGGTGTAGCGGTAAGACACTCGCCTGGCGTTCCGCGAGCACTATGTCATGGGTTCGTATCCTGGCCGGGGAGGATTTACTGGGCGCAATTCCTTAACTGTAGCCTCTGTTTAACGCAACAGTAAAATGTGTACTTGGTTGTAACAACGATTCTTCGCGGCGGGGATCGTATTCCAGGGACCTGCCCGAAACGCTACGCGTACTAGTGGCTGTACAAGAATGTAACAACTCTTGTATATATCTCAAAAAAAAAAAACACTACCGTTATTGCGTGTTAGAGGAAGGAAGACATAGATAAATTTAGAGAAACAGAGAACCAATAAACACATACCTGTTGGAAAAAGGGTCGGATCAAAAGAGACGCAATATTAAGGAAAGAGGAAGAAAAGGGTCAGGAGAAGAAGAGGGTGGAAGGTGAACAGAAGCATAAGGAAGGCCTTCAGGTGTGGGTAGATAAGATAGCATCACTAGTGGGGGGGGGGGATATGAGATAAGATATGACGGAGCACTTCACTGTTCCTCTGATAGTGACTCCATACTCCTACATCACCATTGGTACCACACTCTGGCCTCCTGTAGGGTCCCACACACCTGAACACACCTGTGAACACGCACATGTGAGCACACATCTGAATACACATGTGAAAACATCTCTGAACACGCCTCTAAACACACCTGTGTACACATCTGCGAACACAGCTCTGAACACACTGGTGAACACACCTCTGAATACACCTGTAAACACGCCTGTGAACACACCGGTGAACATGCCTCTGAACACACATGTTAACACCCCCGTGAACACCTGTGAACACACCTGAAAGCACAACTGGGAACAAACCTCTAAACAAACCTTTGAACTCCTTTGAACAAACCTGAGAAGTCGCCTAAGAACACCCCTGTGAACACAACTCTGACCACCTGTCAACACACCTATGAACACACCTGTGAACACGCATAAGAACACACTTGTGAACACGCTTACGAACACACCACTGACTACAACTGTGAACACACCTCTGAATGTACCTGTGAACACACCTGAAAACACACATGTGAACACTCCTCTGAAACACATCTCTGAATACTCCGCTGAACACTCCTCTGAACACACCTGTGAAAACACATATGAACACACACATATGAACACACCTGTGAACACTCCTATGAACACTATATAACACCAGTGAATTATATAAAACAAGTGAACTATATAACATAGAGAACCAAATAATACAGTGAACTATATAAGAACAGTGAACAATGTAACACCAGTGAACTATATCACAGTGAAATATATAACAACACTGATCCATATAACACCAGTGAACACTAAAAAAACAGTGACTTTCATAACAGAGTGAACTATATAACACAGTGAACTATATAACACAGTGAACTATATAACACAAGTGAACTATATAACACAGTGAACTATATAACACAGTGAACTATATAACACAGTGAACTATATAACACAAGTGAACTATATAACACCAGTGAACTATATAACACAGTGAACTATATAAAACAGTGAACTATATAACACAGTGAACTATATAAAACAGTGAACTATATAACACAGTGAACTATATAACACAGTGAACTATATAACACAAGTGAACTATATAACACAAGTGAACTATATAACACAGTGAACTATATAACACAGTGAACTATATAAAACAGTGAACTATATAACACAAGTGAACTATATAACACAGTGAACTATATAACACAGTGAACTATATAACACAGTGAACTATATAAAACAGTGAACTATATAACACAAGTGAACTATATAACACAGTGAACTATATAAAACAGTGAACTATATAACACTGTGAACTATATAACACAGTGAACTATATAACACAGTGAACTATATAAAACAGTGAACTATATAACACAAGTGAACTATATAACACAGTGAACTATATAAAACAGTGAACTATATAACACAGTGAACTATATAACACAAGTGAACTATATAACACAGTGAACTATATAACACAGTGAACTATATAACACAGTGAACTATATAACACAAGTGAACTATATAACACCAGTGAACTATATAACACAAGTGAACTATATAACACAGTGAACTATATAACACAGTGAACTATATAACACAGTGAACTATATAACACAGTGAACTATATAACACAAGTGAACTATATAACACCAGTGAACTATATAACACAGTGACCTTCATAACACAGTGAACTATATAACACAAGTGAACTATATAACACAGTGAACTATATAACACAGTGAACTATATAACACAAGTGAACTATATAACACAGTGAACTATATAACACAAGTGAACTATATAACACAGTGAACTATGTAACAGAGTGAACTATATAACACAGTGAACTATATAACACAAGTGAACTATATAACACAGTGAACTATGTAACAGAGTGAACTATATAACACTTTGTGAACAATATAACACCAGTAAACTATATAACACTGTGAAATATATAACTCATTGAACTATTTTAATACAGTGAGCTGTATAACACCAATGAACTATATAACACCAATGAACTATATAACACATTGAACTATTTAGCACAGTCAACTATATAACACAGTGAACTATTTAACAAAGTTAACTATATAACACCAGTAACCTATATCACATCAGACATCTATATAACACCAGTCAACTATATAACACAGTGAACTATATTACACAGTGAACTATTTAACACCAGTGAACTATATAACACCAGTTAGCTATATAACACAGGTGAACTATATAACACAGTGAACTCTATGTTTATGAACTATGAACGTTTCTGCCCGAAACGCTGTGCGTACTAGTGGCTTTTCAATATTGTAAATACCATGCTATGTATCACCACAAACCCAATGTACCTTCTTGTATATCAATAAATAAATAAAAATAAAAAAATATAACACCAGTCAACTCTAACACACAGTCAACTATAACATCAGTCAACTCTATCACACCTTTCAGGAATATACAGGGTGTCCCAGAAGTCTGGCCCCATAGACAGTATAAAAGAAAAACATTATTTTAAAAGAAACCATTTTTTTGTTTAGAACGGTTATGTAATACATTACAAACTTGTACCCCTAAGGACTGGTAAAAATTATATTTGGACCAATATTATTAGTACTGGTTCTTCACAAGCACATGAGGTCTTTAATGACCGAAATATATATTTACATTCCCTCCGTTCCTAAATATATAAATTGTGATAAATATAAATCATCATTCCCTCCTTTCGATAAAAGGAAATTAGATTGTATTAACGGTTTAAATAATGATAGGAGTATTTGTATTACTAGGCCAGATAAAGGTAGGGGTGTAGTGGTTTTGGATAGGTTAGATTATGTGAATAAGGTTGAAGGATTGTTAGAAGACCCCCTCTAAATTCATGTTGGTTAATATAGACCCCTTTTCGTATATTTTGAAATGTGAAGAAAAACTGATTAGAGTTGTAAGAAGTCTAAAAGACGTTCTCTTGGATTATACAAAAATGCTTGCAACTGGCTCTAAGCCAGGCATGTTATATGGGTTGCCTAACGTTCATAAAACAAGTACACCGATCGTTCAGTTTTGTCAGCGATTGGTACTTTTAATTACAAAATGGCCAAGTTTCTAGTTCCATTATTAGAACCATTAACGTGTAATGAATTTACTGTGAGAAATTCTCAGGATTTTGTAAAGGAACTTTCCTCATTGAATTGTGAGTTCCCAACTATAATGACTAGTTTTGATGTAGAATCACTCTTCGCTAATATTCCTCTGTTGGAAACTATTGACATTTATAAAAATCAGTTATTCGCTGACACTAATTTAGTATCAGGAGTTTGAAGTAAAATATTTGGACGGTTCTTAGAATTGGCGGTTAATTAAAGAATATTTTTATGTTTAATAATAAATATTATAAACAAATTGATGGAGTAGCGATGGGTTCTACTTAGGTTCTGCACTTGTTAATGCTTTTTTGAGTTTTCATGAGAGAAATTGGCTTGATAAATGTCCTTTGAACTTTAAACCTGTCTTGTACAGGAGACATGTAGATGACACTTTTTTGTTCTTTAAGGACCAATGTCATACTGAGAAATTTAGAGAGTATCTTAATGCATAACATTGTAATATACGTTTCACTGCAGGGTGTGAAGTGGATAATTGGTTGTCATTTCTTGATGTCAAAGTGAATAACCTTAATGGGTTTAACACTAATGCTTATAGAAAACCAACTTTTACTGATTTAGGTTTAAAATTTAATTCTTTCGTTCCTGATATTTTTAAGAAAATGCAATTAATACTTTACTGAATAGAGCTTTCGGTTTTTGTTCGAAATGGTCTAAATTTAATCAAAAAATCAATTATCTTGTTATTTTTTTATTCAAATAATTGTTGTCCTTCGCATATGGTATATACAGTACCTTTATAAGGAATTTCTTATATAAGAAGTTCCACCCTTCTTTTAGGATTACTACAACACAAAGGGATATTAAATATATTAAATTACCATTGTATTGTACTATTAGTTTTGCTGTAAGAAGTCAATTGATGAAACTTTTACAGCACTGTTATCCTCAAGTAGCCTTTGCATTTATTTTTGTCAATACAAATACCATAGGATCTTATTTTAAATATAAAGATGAAGTGCCTAGTATCGTATATAGTATCGTATATGCCTAGTGCCTATGCTCTAGTATCGTATATATATATAATTGTTCCAGCTGTAATGCTGGATACATCCAGAGTTCCATTCGGAACTTTAAGATTAGGATACTTGAGCACTGGGAGTATCATTTAGGACTAGATTACCATTGTCCAAACCAGCCATCTCGGAGATTAGAAATCATTGTCACCAGTTGAATCATTCTCTGCTGGAATTCGATTTTAAAATTCTAGACACTTGTATGAATGGCCAGTCAGATATGAGAATATTGGAATCCTTATATATCAGGGAGCTGCGACCTCTGATAAATAGCAGCCTTTCGGCTGTTCAATTGTACACAGTATAGTGTACAGAAGGCCTTGTATTTTGATGTATAGTTCATACTAGCATTCTTTATTTATTTTAGTTTACCATGTTTTGTCTCATTTTTTGTTACTAATTTCAAGTGTTGATATTGCTAATTATTATAGTCTTTTATTTAAGACATACAATACATTTTTTGGTATTCAGTTTTGTTTGATATTTAAGTTTTCATAAGGTTTTGGGTAAGTATTTTATCATTTGCTTCTACTTTGCTAGTGTTTTATGTAAATTTTTTGTAAGTGTGGCAATCATTATTACAATAGTTGTATTAGGTTTGATTATCCATGAGTTAATTATCAAGATTCACTCCGTTTGATCTCTTCACGTATGTTTAATAGTGTGGCTTGTTTTAGTAGTTAATTTTTTTATTAAATTTTGATTCAGTTTTTATTATCTATATGACAATTATAAAGTTTTATTCGTTTCGATCACTTTTAATTAAGTAAGATTAAGTGCTTTGTTTTATAACTTGTGTCGTTTGATCTCTTTTCTGTTGATAGGTAATTTTATTCAGTATGATTTCTTTGTTTGCTAGTTAGTTAGTTAGGGGACACTAAGCCCCAGAAGCACCTCAAGGTAACCTCAAGGTAACCTCAAGGTAAGGTAGTTATTTTATTGTGCCTTCTGTTTTTCCTTTTAGATTTGATGATGAATACGAGGAGTACTCGAAACGTCATAAAGTGAAGTGAAGGGATGAACACAAAATACAGAAACTGATATGAATCACATGATCATAAGGAACTATTGAAAATAGAACATGTGAACAATAAAAAACATACAATAAAGGTAAAACATAACATACAGACAAGAGAGCAAAGGAACACGAGAAGAACATTGAAGAACAGAAGACCGATACATAGAGAGGAGGCAATAAAGAGGACATGGATGATGAGGTAAGAGGACAGTGGAACGTTATTAAAATTGAAATAAGTTGATATATTCACCAACAACATAATTTGTTGGTGAATGTTTTGTGTATGTGTGTGCTCACCTAGTTGTGCTTGCGGGGGTTGAGCTTTGACTCTATGGTCCCGCCTCTCAACTGTCAATCAACTGGTGAACAGATTCCTCAGTCTATTGGGCTCTATTATATCTACACTTGAAATTGTGTATGGAGTCAGCCTCCACCACAACACTTCCTAATACATTCCATTTGTCAACCACTCTGACACTAAAAAAATTCTTTCTAATATCTCTGTGGCTCATTTGGGCACTCAATTTCCACCTGCGTCCCCTAGTGCTTGTGCCTCTTGTATTAAATAGCCTGTCGTTATCTACCCTATCAATTCCTTTGAGAATCTTGTATGTGCTGATTATGTCCCCCCCAACTCTCCTGTCTTTCAGCGATGTGAGGTTTAATTTCCGTAGTCTCTCCTCGCAGCTCATACCTCTCAGTTCGGGTACTAGTCTGGTGGCAAACCTTTGAACCTTTTCCAATTTAGTCTTATGCTTGATTTAATATGGACTCCATGCTGGAGCTCCATATTCCAGGATTGGTCTGTCATATGTAGTATTTAAAGTTCTGAATGATTCCTTACACAAGTTTCTAAAGGCCGTTCTTATGTTAGCCAATCTTGCATATGCCGCTGATGTTATCCTGTTGATGTGGGCTTCAGGGGACAGGTCTGGTGTGAAATCAACCCCCAAGTCTTTCTCTCTCTCTCTCTCTCTGATTCTTGAAGAATTTCATCTCCCAAATGATACCTTGTATCTGGCCTCCTGCTCCCTACACCCATCTTCATTTCATTACATTTGCTTGGGTTTAACTTTAACAACCATTTGTTGGACCATTCCTTCATTTTGGCCAGGTCTTCTTGAAGCCTCAAACAGTCCTCCTCTGTCTTAATCCTTTTAATAATTTTTGCTTCGTCAGCAAACATTGAGAGGAACGAGTCTATACCCTCTGGGAGACCCTCGGGAGTGCTGGGCCCCGGGGCCCAGCAATCCCGAGGTACCAGCCCCCCCGGGGGGTCCAGCACTCCCGAGGGCCCATCACTCCCGAGGGCCCAGCACCCCCGGGGGCCCAGCACTCCCGAGGGCCCAGCACCCCCGGGGACCAGCACTCCCGAGGGCCCAGCACACCCGGGGGCCCAGCACTCCCGAGGGCCCAGCACCCCTGGGGGCCCAGCACTCCCGAGGGCCGAGCACCCCCGAGAGCCCAGCACCCAAGAGGCCCCAGCACCCACAAGGGCCCAGCAACCCCAGGGGTCCAGGACTCCCGAGGGCCCATCACTCCCGAGAGCCCAGCACCCACGAGGGCCCAGCCCCCCCCCCGGGGGGTCCGGGACTCCTGAGGGCCCATCACTCCCGAGAGCCCAGCACCCACGAGGGCCCAGCACCCACGAGGGCCCAGCACCCATGAGGGCCCAGCACCCACGAGGGCCCAGCACCCACGAGGGCCCAGCACCCACGAGGGCCCAGCACCCCCGAGAGCCCAGTACCCACGAGGGCCCAGCACCCACGAGGGCCCAGCACCCCCGAGAGCCCAGCACCCACGAGGGCCCAGCACCCACGAGCGCCCAGCACCCACGAGGGCCCAGCACCCCCGAGGGCCCAGCACCCACAAGGGCCCAGCACCCCCGAGGGCCCAGCACCCACGAGGGCCCAGCACCCACGAGGGCCCAGCACCCACGAGGGCCCAGCACCTCCGAGGGCCCAGCACCCACGAGGGCCCAGCACCCACGAGGGCCCAGCACCCACGAGGGCCCAGCACCCCCGAGGGCCCAGCACCCCCGAGGGCCCAACACCCACGAGGGCCCAGCACCCCCGAGGGCCCAGCACCCACGAGGGCCCAGCACCCCCGAGGGCCCAACACCCACGAGGGCCCAGCACCCCCGAGAGCCCAGCACCCATGAGGGCCCAGCACCCCCGAGGGCCCAACACCCACGAGGGCCCAGCACCCCCGAGGGCCCAGCACCCACGAGGGCCCAGCACCCACGAGGGCCCAGCACCTCCGAGGGCCCAGCACCCACGAGGGCCCAGCACCCACGAGGGCCCAGCACCCCCGAGGGCCCAGCACCCACGAGGGCCCAGCACCCACGAGGGCCCAGCACCCACGAGGGCCCAGCACCGCCGAGGGCCCAGCACCCACGAGGGCCCAGCACCCACGAGGGCCCAGCACCCACGAGGGCCCAGCACCCCCGAGGGCCCAGCACCCCCGAGGGCCCAACACCCACGAGGGCCCAGCACCCCCGAGGGCCCAGCACCCACGAGGGCCCAGCACCCCCGAGGGCCCAACACCCACGAGGGCCCAGCACCCCCGAGAGCCCAGCACCCATGAGGGCCCAGCACCCCCGAGGGCCCAACACCCACGAGGGCCCAGCACCCCCGAGAGCCCAGCACCCACGAGGGCCCAGCACCCACGAGGGCCCAGCACCTCCGAGGGCCCAGCACCCACGAGGGCCCAGCACCCACGAGGGCCCAGCACCCCCGAGGGCCCAGCACCCACGAGGGCCCAGCACCCCCGAGGGCCCAACACCCACGAGGGCCCAGCACCTCCGAGGGCCCAGCACCCACGAGGGCCCAGCACCCCCGAGGGCCCAACACCCACGAGGGCCCAGCACCCCCGAGAGCCCAGCACCCATGAGGGCCCAGCACCCACGAGGGCCCAGCACCCACGAGGGCCCAGCACCCACGAGGGCCCTGCACCCACGAGGGCCCTGCACCCACGAGGGCCCAGCACCCACGAGAGCCCAGCTCCCACGAGGGCCCAGCACCCACGAGCGCCCAGCACCCACGAGCGCCCAGCACCCACGGGTGCCCAGCACCCACGAGGGCCCAGCACCCACGGGGGCCCAGCACCCACGAGGGCCCAGCAACCCCGAGAGCCCAGCACCCATGAGGGCCCAGCACCCACGAGGCCCCAGCACCAGCGGGGGCCCAGCACCCACGAGGGCCCAGCACCCACGAGGGCCCAGCACCCACGAGGGCCCAGCACCCACGAAAGCCCAGCACCCACGAGGGCCCAGCACCCCCGAGGGCCCAGCACCCACGAGGGCCCAGCACCCACGGGTGCCCAGCACCCCCGAGAGCCCAGCACCCACGAGGGCCCAGCACCAACGAGGGCCCAGCACCCACGAGGGCCCAGCACCCACGGGGGCCCAGCACCCACGAGGGCCCAGCAACCCCGAGAGCCCAGCACCCATGAGGGCCCAGCACCCACGAGGGCCCAGCACCCCCGAGGGCCCAGCACCCACGAGGGCCCAGCACCAACGGGGGCCCAGCACCCACGGGGGCCCAGCACCCACGAGGGCCCAGCACCCACGAGAGCCCTGCACCCACGAGGGCCCAGCACCCACGGGTGCCCAGCACCCCCGAGAGCCCAGCACCCACGAGGGCCCAGCACCCACGAGGGCCCAGCACCCACGAGGGCCCAGCACCCACGGGGGCCCAGCACCCACGAGGGCCCAGCAACCCCGAGAGCCCAGCACCCATGAGGGCCCAGCACCCACGAGGGCCCAGCACCAACGGGTGCCCAGCACCCACGAGGGCCCAGCACCCACGAGGGCCCAGCACCCCCAAGAGCCCAGCACCCACGAGGGCCCAGCACCCCCGAGAGCCCTGCACCCACGAGGGCCCAGCAACCCCGAGGGCCCAGCACCCACGAGGGCCCAGCACCAACGGGTGCCCAGCACCCACGAGGGCCCAGCACCCACGAGGGCCCAGCACCCCCGAGAGCCCAGCACCCACGAGGGCCCAGCACCCCCGAGAGCCCTGCACCCACGAGGCCCCAGCACCCCCGAGAGCCCAGCACCCACGAGGGCCCAGCACCCCCGAGAGCCCTGCACCCACGAGGGCCCAGCACCCACGAGGGCCCAGCAACCCCGAGAGCCCAGCACCCATGAGGGCCCAGCACCCACGAGGGCCCAGCACCCACGGGTGCCCAGCACCCACGAGGGCCCAGCACCCACGGGTGCCCAGCACCCACGAGGGCCCAGCACCCACGAGGGCCCAGCAACCCCGAGGGCCCAGCACCATCGGGGGCCCAGCACCCACGAGGGCACAGCACCCACGGGGGCCCAGCACCCACGAGGGCCCAGCACCCACGAGGGCCCAGCAACCCCGAGGGCCCAGCACCAACGGGGGCCCAGCACCCACGGGGGCCCAGCACCCCCGGGGGCCAAGCACCCACGAGGGCCCAGCACCCACGGGGACCCAGCACCCCCGGGGGCCCAGCACCCACGAGGGCCCAGCACCCACGAGAGCCAAGCACCCCCGAGGGCCCAGAACCAACGGGGGCCCAGCACCCACGAGGGCCCAGCACCCACGGGGGCCCAGCACCCCCGGGGGCCCAGCACCCACGAGGGCCCAGCACCCACGAGGGCCCAGCACCCACGGGGGCCCAGCACCCACGAGGGCCCAGCACCCACGAGAGCCTAGCACCCCCGAGGGCCCAGAACCAACGGGGGCCCAGCACCCACGGGGGCCCAGCACCCCCGGGGGCCCAGCACCCACGAGGGCCCAGCACCCACGAGGGCCCAGCACCCACGAGGGCCCAGCACCAACGAGGGCCCAGCATCCACGAGGGCCCAGCACCCACGGGGGCCCAGCACCCATGAGGGCCCAGCACCCGCGAGGGCCCAGCACCCACGGGGGCCCAGCACCCACGAGGGCCCAGCACCCCCGAGGGCCCAGCACCCACGGGGGCCCAGCACCCACGAGAGCCCAGCACCCCCGAGGGCCCAGCACCCACGGGGGCCCAGCACCCACGAGGGCCCAGCACCCCCGAGGGCCAAGCACCCCCGAGGGCCCAGCACCCCCGAGGGCCAAGCACCCCCGAGGGCCCAGCACCCCCGAGGGCCAAGCACCCCCGAGGGCCCAGCACCCCCGAGGGCCCAGCACCCACGAGGGCCCAGCACCCACGAGGGCCCAGCACCCACGAGGGCCCAGCACCCACGGGGGCCCAGCACCCACGAGGGCCCAGCACCCCCGAGCGCCCAGCACCCCCGAGGGCCAAGCACCCCCGAGGGCCCAGCACCCACGGGGGCCCAGCACCCACGAGAGCCCAGCACCCCCGAGGGCCAAGCACCCCCGAGGGCCCAGCACCCACGAGGGCCAAGCACCCCCGAGGGCCCAGCTTGCCGGCTGACTCGTCTCTGCCTGGAGAAATACTTCCCGATTAATCTTACAAAGATGACATGATCTGAGGGATATGATCCTACTGTTAATCTATATATCTATCTGTCTGTTTCTCTCTCTTTCTCTGTCTGTCTGTCTCTCTGTCTCTCTCTCTCTCTCTCTCTCTCTCTCTCTCTTCTCTCTCTCTCTCTCTCTCTCTCTCTCTCTCTCTCTCTCTCTCTCTCTCTCTCTCTCTCTCTCTCTCTCTCTCTCTCTCTCTCTCTCTCTCTCTCTCTCTCTCCCTTTCCTTTTCTCTGTTCCTTGAACATTTTTCCTTTGGTCTGGAAAAACTAATCTTTGTTCTTTGTTCCCCGATTGGTGGATCAGATCCACTTTGCACTGATTGGTTGAATTCAAACTTACCACGATTCCATTGGTGGATATGATCACTTTGTGCTGATTAGAGAAATTATATCTGAGTGCGATTCTATTTCGGGACATTTTTCAAATTCGCGTGAGTCGGTCGGCCGAGCGGACAGCACACTGGACTTGTGATCCTGTGGTCCTGGGTTCGATCCCAGGCGCCGGCGAGAAACAATGGGCAGAGTTTCTTTCACCCTATGCCCCTGTTACCTAGCAGTAAAATAGGTACCTGGGTGTTAGTCAGCTGTCACGGGCTGCTTCCTGGGGGTGGAGGCCTGGTCGAGGACCGGGCCGCGGGGACACTAAAGCCCCGAAATCATCTCAAGATAACCTCAAGAGATGTGGTAGTGAGGCGAATAGGTAGCCCTGTAGTCAAGGATAAGTGTACTCACCTACCTGTGCTTGCTCGGGTTGAGTTTCAGCTCTATGGTCCAGCCTTTCAACTGTCAGTCAACCGGTGTACAGATTCTTGAGCCTATTATGCTCAAGAATCCTAGTGTGAGATTTCAGGGATCTTGCTTACAATCTCCGTTTACTGAACATAAAAAATACACGTTTGTAAATGTCTAGGTTTGTAAATATTTATATTTTTTTTAAACAGATACGTTTGTAAAAAAATACTCATATATGCGTTTCTTAAGGTTATGTGATGGTCGTATTCCTGGTGTTTTGAGAATCGCAAATAGGACCTAAAATTTAAAAAAAAAAAATACTAAAATGAGAATTCTGGTCCTAAAATGGGAGTTCAGTTATTCTAAGCCATTATGAATATACATATATAAACACGTATGCTTTAACATATATATTATGTATATATATATATATATATATATATATATATATATATATATATATATATATATATATATATATATATATATATATATATATATATATATATATATATATATATATATATGTCGTACCTAGTAGCCAGAACGCACTTCTCAGCCTACTAGGCAAGGCCCGATTTGCCTAATAAGCCGAGTTTTCCTGAAATAATATATTTTCTCTATTTTTTTTCTTATGAAATGATAAAGCTACCCATTTCATTATGTATGAGGTCAATTTTTTTTTATTGGAGTTAAAATTAACGTAGATATATGACCGAACCTAACCAACCCTACCTAACCTAACCTAACCTATCTTTATAGGTTAGGTTAGGTTAGGTAGCCGAAAAAGTTAGGTTAGGTTAGGTTAGGTAGGTTAGGTAGTCGAAAAACAATTAATTCATGAAAACTTGGCTTATTAGGCAAATTGGGCCTTGCATAGTAGGCTGAGAAGTGCGTTCTGGCTACTAGGTACGACATATATATATATATATATATATATATATATATATATATATATATATATATATATATATATATATATATATATATATATATTATATACGTATATTCTCGTAACACAAATCGCGTACTGTATATGTCATTCTTACTAAAACAAAGAACGAAAACTATGTATATTTCATTCACATGCCTATGTTGTCGAATTGACGTATGCATGCTTATTTGTTAGTATGTATGTTCATATGTATTCGCGTATGTAAAATATATTGATCGGGTAACTCGGTAAGCTTATACCATTATTTACGAACGAACCGGAACGAAAAACTTTAAATTTGTATATTGTTGGCAATATGTTTAAAACATTAAGCTGACCAATCAGCCTCTGGAGGCTTAATTGAGTCCACCACACAAGCTTACTGATACTAAAATTAAGCTAAATTAAACATTCCATCCAACTGGGATGCTTAATTTAGTCCTGAACAATGCTCAGAGCTTGTGTAAACTCTCAGTACATGTATACCTCACTGAGTATACTGGGTATACTAGAAGCTGGGTATACCTCACGGAGTATGTAGCCTAATACCCCTGTCTGCCTGCTGGAGGAGGTTCTGTAGTACAGGTTTAGTTTGGTCTCCCCTTCAGGAGAGCCTTGACTGCCCCGTCTGCATGGAGGAGTATGATGAGGGCCTTCACACGCCCAAGATGACGCAGTGTCTCCACACCTTCTGCGTCTCCTGCGTCACTGACCTCGTCTGCGGCCCCTCTGGACGTGAAGAAGGTCACGGAACAAGTCACGGAACAAGTCACGGGACAGATGAAACACAAGTCCCAAGGGGAAAAGGGCTTATGTGTCCTCTTTGTCGGGAGATGATTAACACTGATAGAATGCAAACCAACAGGTGAGGACTAATGGTCAATTTAACCTTATTCAATATAACTAAATAAAATATATTTCAAAATACAATAATTCAAAATTCATACTGTATTCCTTTTATAATTTATGTGAAGTGTAGCTCAAGAAACTATTGCTAACAACGTTCCAATTATGTTATAATTTATTTAGATAATTGAGAGCCTGGTAATCTTTATATATGTATTGGGTATTCTTATAACAATAATAATGATTCATTGTGTCTGGGGACAGGCAGCCAGAGTGTATTCTTAAACGCTAGGATTATATGCAGGATCCCCCTCCCCCCCCCCACCAAAGATCGAATTACGGACCCTGTCCAGGATGTAACTCCACAACAAGCTAACTAATTCTTGAGTACTTACTGCTAGGTGAACAGGAAAAATTAGGTGATTAGAAATGCTCCAATCATTTCACAAACAGAACAGCGTTAAGAGTTACTGAAGATACTGTTGAAGCTTTCAAGGACTTAAACTAGTAAGAAGGCTTTGTTACCTGTCACCTCACTGCTGGTTTTGTAACCCTGAATAAGATATGTTAACTGCTATCTTTTTAGTTTAGTTCATTTATTATGCACCCCATACCCATCTTGTGGGCGGTAGTGGAAAGGGTTACAGAGGCACATAATGGGCTCAGGGACTGAACCCCACAATTCATTTAGCTAAGCAAGTTACAATCTTGATGAGCTAGTTACAAAATTACTATCTTTGAATAGTAATTGTTAAATATTAAGGAGCACACAAACACTGGCCTGGTCAAAACTGAACACTTATGACAATACCGAGCAAAATGCACCCTAATTACCGAACAGCTTCCTGCCCCCAACTCCCCACAAAAATTACTGTTCCAGAATGACACTGAGAGACCTCGTGGGGAAACCCATCTAAGCATAACATGACAATTATCTTTTATCAGATGCACCCATAATGCACCCCAATTTTTATGGTAGTTATGAGATTAATTTATCTCAGCTTGTGATTTTATCTCAGAATCCGACCTCCTGAATTGGTTTATAAATTGCAAGAGCTTGAACGGTTGCGGGATAGTTAAATTTAGTTAGAAATCCCGTCAGACTCACAAGTGGGTCAGTGGAGATAATCAGTGAAGCCTGACAGCGTTTTTGCCTCAGTACTGCTTTATCTGATCCTATCTGTCTGCCCCCCCACCTTCCCCCCCCCCATGCTGACCACTGCCATTATCACCCACCACAGCTGCCTTGAACTTCGCCGCCACCATAAGAGAGTAGGTATCAACACTATCGCCGGAGACACACATAAACACGATAACATCGGCAGCATATGACAATAAGAACGTTGTTTAGACACCCAAATCCGGAGCTCTTCAAGGCCCTCACACGCAACTTGGGTTAGATTCCCTCCTGGGATACCCAACTTGTGAAGCGTATAACCAAAATTAAAAAAGACGAACAGGTTTGCAACAAGATTGGTGATGATAGTTACGAGGACTAAGCTATGAGGATAGCCCTAAATCTTATAGGATAGAAGCAACAAAAGGACTATGATCACAACATACAAGATAATGAGGGGTCTAGACAAGGTGGACAAGGATAGCCTCTTCCTAGGACACAGGTGGAACCTGAACACGCAAGTGAGCAGAAGGGATGTTTCGAAATACTCGTATTCTGTACGGGCGGTCAACCAGTGGGATGCAAGAAGCCACCTCAATCAACAACTTCGACACCGCCATGATCCTACCGCCACTAACCACTATCACCACTATCACCACTATCACCAATACCACCATCACCAATATTGCCACCTCCACAAACCACCACTCTCATTACCACCACCACCACCCCCCCCCCTAATACAATAACCACCACCACTACCATCCACCCCTCCATCACCACCACTACACTACCTAGACCACCCCAACTATCACCACCTCTGTAATGAACAGGTAATGAGAAGGAAATGGGAGGAATAGGTAAAAGGAAGGGATAAAGATGAAGACTATAGGGTTAAAGCAAGATATAGAAGTAAGGAACTGCCGCCATCCATTAACCTTACAGACAACCCGGAGCTGTCTTTCAAACTTGGTATCCCTAGGTAATGATAACATCTAAGTCATGAGTACAAGTGAGTGAGCGCACTCACACCGCACTGAACTATAGCACGAACTCAACGTGTTGAATAACTTGCTTTTAAAGAAAATCTTACCACAGATAATAGCTGGCATTTATTGTTCATTATTCACTTTACCTTTATAAATACAAGTCAGAGATCATGAGAAGAGTTAGGGACGGAAAACTGTACACAACTGAAACAATGTCCCTGATGTTTCAACCATCCCGTACTCCTAATAGAACGTCGCATTTTGACGTATAGTCTACCTAAGGCCACAAATTGTCGTACTAGAAAATGGTAGTGGCTCGCAAAGTTGACAAACTGTGCTGTTTTCTTACACCACCACCACTCCCTCTCCAGCACGCTACACCTCCACCACTCCCTCTCCATCATGCTACACCTCCACCACTCCCTCTCCATCATGCTACACCACCACCACTCCCTCTCCAGCACGCTACACCTCCACCACTCCCTCTCCAGCACGCTACACCTCCACCACTCCCTCTCCAGCACGCTACACCTCCACCACTCCCTCTCCAGCACGCTACACCTCCACCACTCCCTCTCCAGCACGCTACACCTCCACCACTCCCTCTCCAGCACGCTACACCTCCACCACTCCCTCTCCAGCACGCTACACCTCCACCACTCCCTCTCCATCACGCTACACCTCCACCACTCCCTCTCCAGCACGCTACACCTCCACCACTCCCTCTCCATCACGCTACACCTCCACCACTCCCTCTCCAGCACGCTACACCTCCACCACTCCCTCTCCAGCACGCTACACCTCCACCACTCCCTCTCCAGCACGCTACACCTCCACCACTCACTCTCCAGCACGCTACACCTCCACCACTCACTCTCCATCATGCTACACCTCCACCACTCCCTCTCCAGCACGCTACACCTCCACCACTCCCTCTCCATCATGCTACACCTCCACCACTCCCTCTCCAGCACGCTACACCTCCACCACTCCCTCTCCAGCACGCTACACCTCCACCACTCCCTCTCCACATGCTACCACTCCCTCTCCATCATGCTACACCACCACCACTCCCTCTCCAGCATGCTACACCTCCACCACTCCCTCTCCAGCACGCTACACCTCCACCACTCCCTCTCCAGCACGCTACACCTCCACCACTCCCTCTCCAGCACGCTACACCTCCACCACTCCCTCTCCATCATGCTACACCTCCACCACTCCCTCTCCAGCATGCTACACCTCCACCACTCCCTCTCCAGCATGCTACACCTCCACCACTCCCTCTCCAGCACGCTACACCTCCACCACTCCCTCTCCAGCACGCTACACCTCCACCACTCCCTCTCCATCATGCTACACCTCCACCACTCCCTCTCCAGCACGCTACACCTCCACCACTCCCTCTCCAGCACGCTACACCTCCACCACTCCCTCTCCAGCACGCTACACCTCCACCACTCCCTCTCCAGCATGCTACACCTCCACCACTCCCTCTCCATCATGCTACACCTCCACCACTCCCTCTCCAGCACGCTACACCTCCACCACTCCCTCTCCAGCACGCCTCCACCACTCCCTGCATACACCTCCACCACTCCCTCTCCAGCACGCTACACCTCCACCACTCCCTCTCCATCATGCTACACCTCCACCACTCCCTCTCCAGCACGCTACACCTCCACCACTCCCTCTCCAGCATGCTACACCTCCACCACTCCCTCTCCAGCACGCTACACCTCCACCACTCCCTCTCCAGCACGCTACACCTCCACCACTCCCTCTCCAGCACGCTACACCTCCACCACTCCCTCTCCAGCACGCTACACCTCCACCACTCCCTCTCCAGCACGCTACACCTCCACCACTCCCTCTCCAGCACGCTACACCTCCACCACTCCCTCTCCAGCATGCTACACCTCCACCACTCCCTCTCCATCATGCTACACCTCCACCACTCCCTCTCCAGCACGCTACACCTCCACCACTCCCTCTCCAGCACGCTACACCTCCACCACTCCCTCTCCAGCACGCTACACCTCCACCACTCCCTCTCCAGCACGCTACACCTCCACCACTCCCTCTCCAGCACGCTACACCTCCACCACTCCCTCTCCAGCACGCTACACCTCCACCACTCCCTCTCCAGCACGCTACACCTCCACCACTCCCTCTCCATCATGCTACACCTCCACCACTCCCTCTCCAGCACGCTACACCTCCACCACTCCCTCTCCATCATGCTACACCTCCACCACTCCCTCTCCATCATGCTACACCTCCACCACTCCCTCTCCATCATGCTACACCTCCACCACTCCCTCTCCATCATGCTACACCTCCACCACTCCCTCTCCATCATGCTACACCTCCACCACTCCCTCTCCATCATGCTACACCTCCACCACTCCCTCTCCATCATGCTACACCTCCACCACTCCCTCTCCATCATCTACACCTCCACCACTCCCTCTCCATCATGCTACACCTCCACCACTCCCTCTCCATCATGCTACACCTCCACCACTCCCTCTCCATCATGCTACACCTCCACCACTCCCTCTCCATCATGCTACACCTCCACCACTCCCTCCATCATCCACCACTCATGCTACACCTCCACCACTCCCTCTCCATCATGCTACACCTCCACCACTCCCTCTCCATCATGCTACACCTCCACCACTCCCTCTCCATCATGCTACACCTCCACCACTCCCTCTCCATCATGCTACACCTCCACCACTCCCTCTCCATCATGCTACACCTCCACCACTCCCTCTCCATCATGCTACACCTCCACCACTCCCTCTCCATCATGCTACACCTCCACCACTCCCTCTCCATCATGCTACACCTCCACCACTCCCTCTCCATCATGCTACACCTCCACCACTCCCTCTCCATCATGCT